ATCGGGTAAGTAATAAGGACGGCTTGTTTTACGTTATGACGTTTCAGGACCGTCATCAGTCCTCAAGGGGATGTTTCTGATGACGTCCTGAGCCGTCATCGGTCCTCAAGGGGGTCTTCACTGAGTGCCTTGACCCCTTGAGGCACTCAGCACACAGGCAGAGCAACCGAAGCCTGCCCGATGGCTTCCGATGCTCTACTACACTGCCGGGCGCCACGTGGGGCATCCCAGAAGTGATCACTCATGGGGAGTGATCCCTCGGCTGCCAGGAGAGGTACTGCAGGATGCCTCAACATCGAGGCATCGCTGCAATACCCTTAGAGCAGCTGGAAGCAATCATATTTGCCTTAAGGACAGTTTTTCGTCGGACGTACCTAGTACGTCCGCGGTCCTTTAGGGGTTAAATTAACCTTTTTGCCAGCTCACAATGTACCTGCAGCAAACTAGGGTTCATGGGAGATGAAGTTTGTAAGCAGATGGTCTGTATTTAAATCAACTTCCTATAAGTGTACTTTTTCTTGGTATAAATGTTCCAATATTCACTTTTTGGCAGGAAAAAAAGATGGAACTGTCCTAGTCTAAAGCGTGTATTAGCCACAGAAACAAGCCCTCTTTTATACATTTTTCACTCAGATTGTTACAGACCTATGCCATAAAATTACTCTAATAAGCACAAGTCGAAAGAGGGTTAAAGCATTTTCCATGTGAACTGAGATTTAATTTTTTAAACAAGTTAATTTTAATCCTATTAGCTGAACATCAAAGGGAGCACAATTCATTGGCTGAGTGAAATGAAGCAAAGATGTAGGATTATTCAAAATAAAACGAATGCCTATTGTACACTTTCCGTCTCATGTTTTTGCATCACTAAGTGCTACTGGTAATAATGATTAAACCGTGATAGAAGAAAAAAATCCCTTGGTGTCTTAACTGTATTTTGGGAAAGGGTTACCAATTCATTTCTATTAATAAATAACAGCCTTACTATTGCTTTCAACGTACCTGTTAAAGTTTATTAAGTTGTCAACAGCTCCTGCAATCTGTGACATGTATGTTGCGTACAGAAAATAAAATGTGACAGTTTATATCATCAGAATTTACCAAATATAGAACAAAATGCGTGATATGAAAGATCCTTTAATGCTGTTATAGTCTCAATTTCGCTACTATAACTTCTAAAAATGTTTTGAAATAATGGTTTTGTCTCCTTCTGTAGCCATTTTGTAACTCTTATCTCAATTTTTCCCATTGGCCAAATGCATACTTCTCAAGAGTCGCTATTAAGAAGAGTAAGTCATTACTTTGGGCCTAAATTGAGTAACTGTCCCTTTAATCACACCCTCGCTCTGGATTGTGGCCTAGATCAGCCAGTAGAAGGACCAAAGGAAGTGCGTAATGTTAAAGGGACACTATAGTCACCAGAACAACTACAGCTTGTTGCATTTCTTCTGGTGAGTAGAATCATTACCTTCAGGCTTTTTGCAGTAAACACGGTCTTTTCAGAGAAAATGCAGTATTTACATTACAGCCTAGTGATAACTTCACTGGCCACTGCTCAGATGGCTGCTAGGGCGGCTTCCTTAAACAGTCTTGCCTAGTATGCATCACAACATATCAGTGTCTCCACCCTATGCATGCAGACACTGAACCTTCCTCATAGAGATGCATTGATTCAATTCATCTTTATGAGGAGATGCTGATTGGCCAGGGCTGTGTTTGAATTGTGTTGGTTCTGCCCCTGATCTGCCTCTGCCCCTTATCTGCCTCCTTCACAGTTTCAGCCAATGATTGGCTCAGAACAACACTTCTGATGATGTCAACAGGCAGCTTGCAGGCCTGAGGCAGACATGGGCAGAGCCAGCAGCTTCAGGCTTGAATACAAGTAGGATTTTACTATATTTAGGGAGGCAAGAGAGGGCCAGGAGGGCTAGATGGTGGTTTTAACACTATAGGGTCAGAAATATATGTTTGTGTTCCCGACCCTATAGTGCTCCTTTATTGTAAAATGTTGACATAAAGCTGTTTAGGCAACTTTTTTTGAACATTATAAGAAAATTCAATAATAGATGTATGATGTAAAAAGAAATCCATTGCTGTAATATGCAGCTATACTGATGCTTAGGAACATTTTAAATGATTGGACGAGGGCATTGTTACAGATTCACTGCTTTGGATGGGTTCTGAGAATTTTAGATGTGCATTCAAAAGCAGAAGTTGGTTTCTTTACTGCACTGCAAACCGTGTAAAAATGCCCAAACTAGTAAAATGTAGGCCAAAATTGCTGAAACTTAACAACAGCTGAGCTCGTATTTGCTATTTTGACGGAAAAAAAAAATATTAAAACTATTCACAATTCCCAGTTTAGGTTATAAACGTGTGTGTGTGTATATATATATATATATATATATATATATATATATATAATTTTTTTTTTTATTTTTTTTTTTTTAACGTATGATAAGCAGCTACATGCTGCCCTATTTATGACCTATAACCTTTTCAGAGAGAGATATGGGATACCCAGGCTCTGCTGAGAATTTGCAGTTTCACCCACACTGTGCCAATCATTACAAATTGTGCGTGGCCGTTTTCAGATGTGTGTTTTTTCTCCAGCGAAAACCCCCCCCCACAACTTAGTGCGTATGAGTTTGTAAAAATAACAAACACGTTTGTCTTTGTGTGATTGTCTGCAATACAATGCAGAGGTGGCAAATAAGTCCTTTTCGCTTCATTAGCAGAGTGAAAAGTCTCTGAAGCGCACAGAAAAAGAAGACTAATTGGTTCCCATTTTGCTTCCTTATTTAAAAATTAGCCATTTAGAGAGCTGGGTGTTCCAAGTAAAGCATTCAAAGGGGATCACAAACTGTCATAAGATTACCAACCACCTGCATGCAATAAAAATCTCTTTACCCAAATAAATAAATATAGATTCCTAAAACGAGTTTATGAATGAATAAACAGTTTTATGATATCCTGGTTGTAGATTGATCTCTCCAGTATACATGCAGTAAGTGGTTAAATTGTTAACAATGCTAAATAAATGGAAAATTAAACATAGGTGTTACACAGAGATTGCACAGATTGCAAATACATAAAATCATGGGAAAATACAGTTTGTTCACCTTGTGTACAATATAAATCTATAGTCGGGTGGATCAAACAGGCAGAAGAACAGAAAGAAGGACAGACAGAAAAATTTAAATTTCAGAGCACATGGGATGATATATAGACAAAGAAAGAAGATACTATATTGGGTCCGACCTTCTGGGTTTTTTGACCTTCCAACCATCCATAATCAGAATGTATTCACTATACTGTGCAAACAAATTGCTGTTAACCTTTCAGAGTGCTGAGTCAGCATAGGGTACCAAAGGGTTAATGTACCTTTGTAGCGCCAAAATTTTAATACGCATTGGATTCGATTGCGAATTATGTGCAGAGCAAAATTAAAAATGTTCTGGCGAATGCACACAGGCGAATTTCGGTCCTGAAGGAGAGCTTAAAGGAACACTATAGGGTCAGGAACACAAACATGTATTCCTGACCATATAGTGCAAACCCCACCATTAAGGTGGCTTGCCCACCCCCCCACCCCCTTTTCCCCCTTTAAAAACATGAAAAACTCACCTTCTTTCCAGCGCCATGCGGGTCTCCCGGCACTGGTCCTGCCCCCTTGGTAATATCAGAATTGCCGATTTCTAGCCAATCCAAGGCTCTTCCATGGGGAAAGCATTGGCTTGGCTAAAACCGGCAGGGGCGGGGCGGGGCCAAATCGGCAAGGTGTGGGGCCAAACACAAGGGTGTAGTGTTTGCATGAAAATGCCTGCATATAATGATTATACTCACTCATTAAGCTGTAGTTGTTCTGGTAACTATAGTGTCCCTTTAAGAAAGGTCAGACTTAACATGTAACACTAACACTGAAATACCATCAATGTTACTATGGTATATGGCAATAAAACATTTCCATTGTAGCACAGTGTTGTATAGTTGTATTTTCTTGTATAGATGCGCATTACATTCACCCGCAAAAACATTTTTCAGCTTCCAGATTTCAAAAATTGAGGTGCGCATTAGATTCGAGTAAATACGGTACTTTGTACAGATGAGAAAATAAAGAAAAACTGGAGGGATTTCACCAATAGCATTCTAGAACCACAACCACAAAGATATGCTGTAGTAGTTATGGTGATTTGAGCTTTAGCATTTACGTTTTTCATTGCCAATTCACCGCAATTCTCTGTTATATGGAAAAAGCAGGCGCATCTGACATTCTAATAAACATTAAATCCAGGAAAGTTCCAAGACTCTGCAAGACACTGGCACCTACTCTGCTGTTCCTGTCTTTTTTCCCTCATCTATCAAATTCTGTGGCACAGACAATCTGGAGTCTGTACAGCTGTTTATCCGCAGCAGCAGAGACAGTTTTTAATTGGATGGGAATAAGAAACAGAAATGTTTAATTTGGTTGCACAACATAAGCATGCATGCAGAGGTCTATCCACTAAATGCCAGATTGTAGTGAACGGATCTCTGAACGACAAAATCTAGGCACGAATAATCAAGCTTAATTGGAGAATTTTTACAGATCAGCTATTTTGCCTAAAGGTTAAAGAAAAAAAGAAAAATGCAATTCACTGTAAATAGGTGAACACACTCGTTTGTGAACTGCACAGCACAGATTTTCTTTCTGCTTCTTTCAGCTTAAAACGGTATATGTATTTTTAGTGCTACAGAATGCAACTCCTCGGTCGTTGATTAACATACAAGACTAAGCTGTTCTCTTGAACACAATCACTTTGGGAGTATATGCAAAAGCAGCTCTGTCTCAAGGCTTCGTCTAGAAATTTAAAAAAAAAAAAATAGCTTAGAGACCTTAGCCAGCCTCTAGGTCAATCTGTCACTACTACTACTACAGTCCAGGATGGAAAAAAAAAATGGACATTGATAACTCAGAAGTGTAAAGAGGATGGCACTTAAAGGCTGAGGTAGGCAACATTCGGCACTCCAGATGTTGTGAACTATATTTCCCCTGATGCTTTGCCAGCATTAGGAGGGGAAGAGCATTATGGGAGATATGCTTCACAATATCTGGAGTGCCGAAGGTTCCCTACCCAAGAGTCCTAAACACTGACATGTAGCAATTATGTTGCTGTGAACGTGTCCATTCCATACTTTACAATAATCCGAGAAGGGTTACTTCTTACCCTAAAAAATACTTTTCAAATCTACAGGTTCTATTTACACAAACAGCCAATCCTTTTTTATCATACTAATAAATGATCCTATCTGCTACCGAAAACATTTCAGACTCTGGCAGTTCAACACACACTGAAAGTGTAGTTGTAGGTTTCCTTGTTACGTAATCTCATCTCCTATCTGTAGCGCCCAAAAATGTACTGGGTGACATTTACACATGTCACTTAAGACGCTGGCTAAAAATAAATAAAAGCAAAACCCTAGCTGAACCAGGAGACAAAACAGCAACACAAAGAAATGATAAAATCCAAAATGTTTCTCAAGTCTCCTCATTGTTCTGGTCTGGCTAACGGTAGATCCCAGACATTTCTAAACTTCTATGGCTGTAGCCTATCCAGCTCTTTTATACAGATTCCACAACAGATAACACAAAGAAAAAAAAGAGTTGGAAGTTGGAACAGTCCAGGTAATTTCTGTATAGGAACATGGATTAATAATACATTGTCCAATAATTGTATTATTTAAGTCTTTTAGATAGACTTAAATAAGTGTTACACATTAAAATGGTATTAAAGGAATCCTCCAAACACCATATACACTGACACACCAGTCACTTTCTCTGCTGACAGCTTCCATTAGCTCTCCTGAGAAGAGGGTCTGAGATCATTAGCTAAGAACTCTCAGCAAATGAGCCAAGCCCTGCACTGAGGGGAAAGCTCGCACAGTGAGCTTCCAGCTCCAATATCAGTTGTTACGGCATCAAGCAGACCCCACGTTGGGAGATATAGATATGGGACAGGAGGTGGGCAAGCCTGGTCGGAAGGTGGTACTGTCCGCATGATAGAAGTACTAACTCTGGCCAGCAAACTTCAGGGTTGCGCCTGTGAAGAACTGTAGAGGAGCTAAGCTCTACCCTAATTCCAAAAGTCCATTCAACAGACTAGGAGTTCTTGCACAACTCAGCCTCTTCATGGACGGCAACATTGACATTGGAAGAGGCAGGGACTTGCAACAAAAGACAGCCTTTTAGATGTAACATTTTGATGATGTGTACACGTACACAGTTTTAGGAGTTTTTGTTTTTTTTCCCCATTTAATTAAGTCATTTATATTAAAATGTATGTGTTATGTTCTTAATGCATAAAAAAAGGCTAGCACTGACAAGTTGCTCACATTGTTTTCCTTTAAACATGTATAACATTGGGAAGCACCAGATTACATTACCTCTAAATAGGTACAAAACAAAATATTTTTTTTTCCAGATCAATATAAACATCCCCTGCATGCTGGCAAAGTTAAACATATTTTAGGAACAAAACATACTTCAAAAATAATAATGTCAAGAGCAAAATTCATATTCCGTTCCAAACTTCCCCTAATAAACAAAGGAAAGGCTATCCAAATCACTGCAGTAAAAACAGAAGAAAGAATGCAGCTATAAATAATAAAATGAAAACAATTTTATAATAAAAAGCCATCCATCATCACTGAAATATTTTATTCCCTCCCCCTTACTTTATAGAGTTTGATTGATATAAGCCAGGCTTTGCTCGTTTTAGGGATAATAAAACCTAGTAGCTGTCTGACTGTCCTGATGTACTTGCTAGTTGCCTGGATGTTAGAGAAGGAGCAGAATAATATGAATAACATAGGTTTTACATTATAATTTAGTTTTGGCAATATACCAAAAAAAAAACTAAAATAAAAAAAATAAACTTATGTAAAACAGGCCTTCCAATTATCTATGTTTCAGGGCACAATCTTAAGGACCTGTCCTGCCATTCTGACTTTGTTGCCTAGGGTCCCACATTGGAGGACCACCAGAAATGTTGTGCAGCTTGCTCTGCTTGGGCTTCGTGTTGGGGGCTTGCCTGGATTGACACACCCCTTCAGTGAGCAGACTCCCCCCCCTCTTCCAAGCACTGGTGATTAGGGATGCTCGCGAACCGTTCAGCGAACAGTTCCGTTAGTGGTAACTCGGTCAGCACATCCCTGCCAATCTCCGGCAGACCTCCCTCCCAGACCCTCCACCTCCTGGACAGCATCCATGTTGAAGCTGCCTTCAACATGGATGCTGTCCAGGAAGTAGGAGGGTCTGCCGGAGATTGGCAGGGATGTGTCAGCTGACCGGAGTTCGCCACGAACGGTTCGCGGCAAGTTCGCGAACGGTTCGTGGCAAGTTCGCGAACGGTTCGTGGCAAGTTCGCGAACGGTTCGTGGCAAGTTCGCGAACGGTTCGCGACATCACTACTGGTGATGTCCCCTTGTGGTAACCAACCATTACCTGCATCCCATAGCTTCCAATAATGGCGGGATAGGGGTAGAGGTATTTGTAAAGGGACGGTTTAAACACCATAGCAAAGTACCTCCTGATTGTTTCCCTTCACTCTGCTTAGTACATCTACGGTGTGATAAATTAAACTTACTTGTTCAGGCTCTTAAAATGCAGATATGCATACAAATGACCAAAAACCATTAAATGCATGGGGGGAGGGGGGAAGGGGGAGAAACCTATTCAGAGAAGTCCCACATTTAGAAAAATTAAAGAGACAAGAAGATTGGCTGATAATTTCTCAGCCAATATTAGTCCCTGAAAAAGCTAAGAAAAGAAGTCAACTTTAGATGACTTTTAATAATGATTTTAATGATTTTAATAATTTTCTGCATATTGCATTTAAAATAAGGTCAACTCAAATGTAAGATCTTCATTTGGGCAAACTTTTTTTCTTTTTCCAATACTGTATTTATTTCTAATGTGAAACACACATTTTCTAATAAAGATTAAACATGGAATAAAAAATAAGGCCAACTTCAGCCCGTAGGTTCCCTAAATCCCTAGTTGCCAGGCAACTGCACTGAGGCCATAACAACACTAATAAGACAGTTGTACAAAGTGGGATGTCTGTCTGACTTCTGAACATTAAATGGCTAGATGTAGATACACGTTTCAAGATAAGAATGCATCTTTAAATATTTGTCCTTCAAACAAAATACCAGTTTAGAGAATAGTTTGCACCATTTCTATATATACATTCTCATCTATTATCGGACAAAGAGAGCAATGCTAAAAGGAGGCCATCAATGAAACAAGACACACGTGAAAGTTAAGGAATGCTTTCTCATTAATAATAACTTCTATAAGTTCTATTTATATCACTGGAATCAAATATCCGCCAAGAGAAAAAAAAAGGTTGAAGTTCTGTGAAGTCTGTTCTTTCATGCCTGGAATAAAAACATTTTGTGTAGGTCAAAAGATATCCTTAAAGGACCACTCTAGGCACCCAGACCACTTCAGCTTAATGAAGTGGTCTGGGTGCCAGGTCCAGCTAGGGTTAACCCATTTTTTCATAAACATAGCAGTTTCAGAGAATGTCGCGCGTGCGCATTCAGCCGGCAGGGAGGAACGGAGGAGGAGAGGAGGAGAGCTCCCCGCCCAGCGCTGGAAAAAGGTAAGTTTTTACCCCTTTCCAGAGCCGGGCGGGAGGGGGTCCCTGAGGGTGGGGGCACCCTCAGGGCACTATAGTGCCAGGAAAAAGAGTATGTTTTCCTGGCACTATAGTGGTCCTTTAATCTGTTATGACCGCTCTCCTGTCCAACATTGATAGGAAATAAACCTATACACAGGGCCGTCTTTAATGCGGGGCAAATGGGGCAGCTGCCCCGGGCCCTTTTATTTCTAGGGGGCCCAAGGCAGCTGCCTCGTGGGACCCGCTGCCCTCAACAACTTTCTCCCCCCCCAGCCCTCCACCCATGGGCCTCCGGTGCATCCTGATCTTGGGGACACACACTAAGGAGCCCCACCGGGTGGCCCATGCAGTAAGGGCCACCCGGTGAGCGTTTGTAAGCAGGGGCCCGGTCGCACTCTGTGGCCCTTTAACAGCACGACCGGGCCCCCTTGCTTTTTGGCAGCATGGGAGGAAGTGACTGCCGTGAGTCACTTCCTCCCAGAGAGAGCCCACACCAGGGAAGCAGAGGAGGAGGGCTGGTCCAGATTGCCAGTAAGCCACCACTCTGGACACCAGGGAAGCAATCCTTCAAAGTAGGAAACGGGGAGTAGACTTAAAAGTGTGAGAAGAGGTTTACAATTTTCTTGTCTGTAGTCATTGGGGTGTTTGTCATCTGCTGGTTCCCTTTCTTTTTTACATACAGTTCTGGCAAGCATCCCATGGTCATTAAAGGAACACTATAGTCACCTAAATTACTTTAGCTAAATAAAGCAGTTTTAGTGCATAGGTCATTCCCCTGCAATTTCACTGCTCTATTTACTGTCATTTAGGAGTTAAATCACTTTGTTTCTGTTTATGCAGCCCTAGCCACACCTCCCCTGGCTATGATTGACAGAGCCTGCATGAAAAAAAACTGGTTTCACTTTCAAGCAGATGTAATTTACCTTAAATAATTGTATCTCAATCTCTAAATTGAACTTTAATCACATACAGGAGGCTCTTGCAGGGTCTAGCAAGCTAGTAACAGAGGATATGAAACCACGGAGCAACGCAGGGAGGAGTGGGCCTTGACAGAGCCAGGAGTAGGCAGGGTGAAGTTCAGGTCAAGAGGCTGTCCTGTGATTGTGCTGGGGGGCGTGGGTTAGAAGGGAAGTTTAAATAGCGGCCATTTTAGGGTAAGTTCATTCTAACTTGAGCCTTTCTTACCTGTAAATTGTTGCAGGTCGGTTGGGCTCCTCTTTTCTTCTTTTCCAGGTGTCATTAGAAGAACTTCTGTCGGGTCTGCGGTCCGTGGTGCAGGAGAAGGGAATGGCGTGGCTACAGGAGCAGCTGGGGGTTCCGAGCACGTCTGCTCCCCCCCATGCGGTGCCGGATCGGAGGCCGGAGAGGAGAGCTAGGCCGCCCCAGCGGCTCAGTCCTGGAGCGGGTCCTGCAGCCAGACGGAGGAGGAGCTCGGC